CCCGTGATGCCGCGTCGCCATGCCTCGCCCGAGAATCTCGGATCGATTCGTCGAGTTGTCAAACCAGTGAGGCGCCCGGACCCACTTCTCCAGACTCGGGCTGCAAATCGCAGAAAGCGCGAACCTCAGGAGACCCGTTCTGACTCCGTCGTGGAGACAGGCGGTCTGAGGGTGGAGAGTAGGTTAGCCTGAGGGTGGATATGCCCGGTGGCACCTCTGTAAGTCATGAGACTTATGTAATATGACGGATGAACCAGGACACTCGAAGCCAGGTGAACACTCTTGATTTCGGATTTCTCGTCTTTCGGCTGTTTCGCCCAGTGAACACTCGCAGCCAGTGAACCCCAGGAGACTCTTTCGGCTGTTTCAGCCAGTCTTTCCGACGTGAACCTGCGAAGCCTGATCACCTCACATGCCATCCATCCGGATCCCAACATCGTCTTGAGCTCCACCCGCCCAACGGAAACAAAAAGGTGGGGTGGGTTTGGTCTTCGTACTCCCAATAGAATGAAGGGGCCCCTTACGTCCACATTTTGTCCTTTTCTCCACTCTTTGATGGCCAAGCGACGCGATGTCCGCAACCAAACGAGCTCTTGACCAAGCTGAAGCTTAAGCTTGGACTCAGTGTGGGGGGGTGGGCTTACTGCGGCCAGGCGAGCTTGAAGATGTTCCTAGACCAGTACTAAAATTGGACATTGCAAAAATATTCAGCAATATTTTAACATACCAGGCTGCCAAGGTGGGCTGCCAGGGTGTGGGGGGCGTTAACATACGAGGCTGCCAAGGTGTGGGGGGCTTCAACATACCAGGCCGCCACGGTGTGGGGAGCTTTAACATACCAGGCGGCCAGCGTGTGGGAGGCTTTAACATACCAGGCCGTACCAGGGTGTGGGGGGCTTAACCTACTAGGCTGCCAGGGTGTGGGGGCTTCAACGGTGTGTTGGGCTGGCAGGGTGTGCCGGGCTTTAACGGACCAGGCTGGGCGTGTGGGGGCTTTGCCAAGGTCTGCCAGGGTGTGGTGGGACATATCAGACTGCAGTGGGGGGCTTTAACGCAGAGGGTGTGGGTGGCTTTAACATACCAGGCTGACAGGCTTGCCAGGGTGTGGGTGGCTTTAACCAGGATGCCAGAGTGTGCGCAGGCTGGCAAAAAAAATTGTGGAGTTGCTCACCTGAGCAATCAGATCGATGCAATTAGACAGCGCAAAACATGGAAAGATCAGGCTGACCACCAAGTTTTTGGGTTACTTGGCCCGACCGATTCTTCAAACAGAATGGCCAAAAAAATTTGGCCTGGGTGGCAGACGCTCCTCCTTGGCGCGTTGCTGCTTGGGCAGCCTTTGGCCGGGTGAGCTTGGTCGTTTTTGCTAGCCGAACGGTAAAAATGCTTTCTGCTTTCTTTGCACGCATCATCCTATCAGAGTGTTGCACACAAGTCGCACCACCACCACAAGTTGTGGTGGTTCAGGGACTATCTCAACAAACTCAGTCTATCAAGTAGAACGCTTTCAAATGTATGCGAATTCCATCTTTCTCCTCTTCCTCGCGTGACCTACTTTCTGGCCACTGTGAATTCTGAAGGTCTGTCTTGTTGGGTATGGGTGGGCCGCAATCGAAATGTACCATTTCTCTCTTTTTTGCACTCGCAGTCGGCGTTGCAGCGGCGAATGTAATTATTAATTACGTTGCGGAATGCATTAAGTCAGATCCTTTTTTGTAAAAACGCAACAGCAAAAAACGTGGCTCCTTTTTCGTAAGTGGTATCAGATGGATATGACCTGCTCTCAACAAGTTACACATCTCTCTTTGACACTTTCCCATTCTGGAGATGATCACCTCGACCTGCAAATGTCACTTGCTGTGCTGTGCTATGAAGTACAATAAGACAACACAGGAAACATAGTTGCAAACTGCTCAACAAGACAACTCAAGACTCAAAGATTGTCTGTGAAGTCATTTGCGATGGATTGAGCAATGGTGGATGACGTAGATGGGTCAATATAGGTCCGGCGCATAGATGGCCTTGAATTTTCCTAATGATTGTTAACAATGTTAAAACCCTTTCGTCTCACTGATTAGGTTCCCGACGTTGTCTGGAATTTGTCACGTTAAACTACACCGTTTACAGTTGGTGTTCTTTCTTGAGAAAAGAGACTGGACACACTGTCTGGCCGCTCTCCTGCGTCCGGGTCATGTCCTCCTCTTGTCCGTCTCTTGCCCTCATCTCTTGTCCTTATCTTGTCCTCTTGCTCCTGTTCTCCTCTTGCCCTCCTCTTGTCCTCCTCTTCTCCTCCTCTTGTCCTCCTCCTGTCCTTGTCCTTCTCTACTCCCCTTGTCCTCCTCTGTTCCTTCTCTACTGCTGCTCTTGTTCTCTTTGTCCTCCTCTCCTCACCTCCTCCTCTTGTCTTCCTCTTCTCCTCTTCTTGTCCTTCTTTGTCCTCCTCTTGTCCTTCTCTGGTCCTCCTCTCGTCCTTTTCTTGTCCTCCGCGTGTCCTTCTGTAGTCCTCCTGTTGTCCTTCTCTTCTCCTCCTCTGGTTCTCCTCTTGTCCTGTTCTTGTCCTCCTCTTGTCCTTCTCTTGTCCCCTTCTCTGGTCCTCTTCTTGTCCTCCTCTTGTCCTCCTCTTGTCCTCCTCTGGTCCCTTCTTGACCTTCTCTTTGTCTTTCTCTTGTCCTCTTCTTGTTTTCCTCTTGTCCTCCTCCTTGTCCTCCTCTTGCCTTTGTCTTTGGTGCGTTCATATTTTTCCTTCCCCCCCTCTTGTCGTCCTTTTGTTGTCCTGCTGTTTAGGTCGCTGTTCAATCAAGGCAGGGGCCGGGGCTGCGTACCACCACAACAAAAATTCTTGCCAACTAAGCTGTTTGGTGTATATGCTAGTAAAATTTGCGTTTGGGGCCTAGATTTTCACTGTAAAACAAAAAGTGTCATTAATCTGGCTTGGAAATGAATTTGGACAGCAGCATCTTGGGGACAATAGACTAATTATCTCGCAGCAAGGGTTGTGTAGTGGCGTCGAGAACCATAGCTTCTCATAGAGTCTTCCAATCATTCGGTTGCAGTTGCCTTAACAGGAAAATGACCCGAGGAAAAATCTCATCATCTCGCGTCAAACCTGCTCAAACCTGTTTCAATGTTGGGCTTGTCAAGTTTGAGGTTGGCCTCGCCTCGCGAAGGCGAAGGCCTGCGTCCCTTCCTAGGCAGAATCTGGGTTCAGGCACGGAGACCATGCCAAGAGGGAGGTTGCCGAGCCGCTTGGACAACCAGCCCTCGTAGTGTAGGAAGGTGCGCTTGCGAGGCAGCTGCGCGCGGATCCTGCATCTATGAATATCTCGCTGCGTTCACATGTGAGGCGGGAACCAGGAACTATTGTCAGCATTTCTTGTTTACACGCTGTTCTCAAACAGACCTGGGCTATCGGAAAAAAGAGTTGCAGAGGTTACCACTAACATTGCAATTGAAAGAGCTGACCTCGCAAAAATAATGCTGAAACTAATTGGAGCACGCGCTAGCAGAGTGCTCTGTGAGAGGTCAATTTGAAGCCACTCATGTATCGAACCAGGGATCACATAGCTTTGGTGCTTTGCTCGCAGGCCGCCACCTTCACGCCCGTGCCTGTTGGGTGCACTTTTTGGCATCTTGAAATCAACTCATTGATGTGTTACTTGAGTATACTCGTCAGGAAAAGCAACATTGTCCGGCTGACGTCAATCTCCCCTGTCCAATATGTAATGGATTCGCCTCATCCGAAGCAGATTCACTTCTCGGATATACTTTCAAAGAAAAGGCAAATTCTTCAGAGCCTTCCAGGGTGTGGATGGCTTTAGCGTACCAGGCTGCCACCGTATGGCTCACAAAAGGTATGCACGGTTGGAATGGCACCTTCCTCCTCTAAATTTTACCCCCGGGTGGCTCACAAAAGGTATGCACCTACCTCCTCTGAATCTTACCCTCGGGTTTAAGCTTTTCCTTGGAGAGCGGCAAGTTCTGGGGCAACTCCGAGGAAGTTGGTCAGGATTTTGCTGACATATTACATATTGGCATTCTGGCATTTGAGAGTGTGCGTGCGGGCGCACACTCCTCAAGAGGCTTCTCCATTCCTTCCAACTTGCGCGTGTATAAGCGAGGCGTTTTCCGCGTGCACAAGCGAGGCGGTTTCCGCGTCCACAAGCGAGTGCCATGCCGGCTTTAACATAAGGGCCTGCCAGGGTGTGGGGAGCTTTAACATACCAGGCTGCCAGGGTGTGGGGGCCTTCCACCGTCAACTCTGTTGATCCATGGTGCGAATCTCAAGGGAAACTCGCCAATGCAAGTATAGCTGCTAAGTGGTGTTCACAGTTCGTCCCTCCTAAATTGTGCCAAGACTGTTATTTGTCATGTATCCAGTTGTCTGTTCAATCATTTGCTTTCGATCCGACCAAATAGCCGCTCCAAAATGGTTTTGCTCTTCGATTCATCCGACCAACCACCGGTGGATCTGAGCGCCAAGACTCAGAGGAAAAACTTCCCGTGAGGCCTTGGTGAAACAACACGGAAAGGGGATGGATAATGGCACACCGGCACGTGCGATGAATGGAGAACGGCGCCGGACAAACGAACCAACAAATAACATCAAACACCCCGAAAAAAACACCAGCAAAACGCTGAGGATTGCAGAAGATTGTCATTGTTATTACCGTAACATACCGTAACCACTATGAAGGAAGGCTTCTGGCGAAGATGAGTTCAACAAAACAAGGGCTGTGGCGGCGTGTGAGATGTGAGACAAAGTAATGCGTGCCGCTAAAACAACTTCACTTGAGCTGAAAAATCATCAATCAACGTTTTCGTGTCAGTGGCAGTTCGTAGAGAACGTCGGAGTACACAATATGCAAACCATACTGGGCACAAGACTTCCCCGTAGGGTACCTGTGCCGCAAAAGAGGGGAAGCTTTTCAGGTTTTCCTGGATTGTTCAGGATGCTTGGTGGCATCCGCTAGCAAGTGCTCCAAATGATGACCTTCAAACAATCACGAAGAATGACGCACACACCGTTTCAATTGTACGACAAACGCACCGTGCTCAGCTCGTCTGCAGTTCTCAGCTCGTTTTGACGTTCTTGGTGTCGCACGGGTGAGCCATGGGCTGAACATCAATGAGAGGTAACGACCATCCCGAGAGAGGCCAAACTTCTGCTGGACCTCAGGCCAATAAGCAAATCCTGTCTTATCAACAGATCCTGTCTTACCGATGTTGTTGCAAGGAAGCTGTGGATCAACAGATCCTGGCCAATAAGCTTCCTGTCCTATCGCTGCTCGCTTGTCTTATCTGGTTATCCTTTCCTTTCCGGATCGAACTTCAATGCGGTCGATTTCGACGCCAGGTCCCCGGAGGTGAACGAACGGTGAACGAACGTCTGTGGTGAACGTCACGTCGACAGTTCAGTGATATTTCGCTATTGTATACGTAGGTCCTATGTCCTATGTGCACCCCCGAAAGCAGGGCAGGGACCTGTCAGAGGGACAGGAAAGAGGCCTTCCAAAATTCCACCAGCTGGGAGTTATTCACAGTGAATTGCTTCCGCTCTGTCAGGCACTGAGGTGAAAAACCTGGAGTATATAGCTTCTTGTTACTAGTAGCGATGGCCTCCAACCTAATAGCCATGGCCTCCACCTATAGTAGCTTCTTGTTCCTAGTAAAGCTTCAAGACCGACATATCCTTCAAATGATTGAAGCGCACGAGGCTCTGCTAGGCATAACTAAGGCAGCATATTCAATGGGCACAGTGGCAACATCTCTCCATCCAAGCGTGTCCACAAACCCCTTCTGGGCTGGCTGAGCCACAAAGCGAGTCCACGCACTGCGGACCGCTGCGATGTCGCCCACGGACCACGGACCGCGGACCGCCCCCGGTCGTGGCGACGGGACGAGACGTTGACAACGTGACAACGTTGTACTCGGTGTATTGGGAATGGTCATCTTCTCCTGAAACCTTCATCGATTTCATCATCTTTCAGGGGTCGGCATTGCCTTTAGGATCCTGAGGATCCTTTTTGGGTCAGCACATGTCAGCACTGGTCAGCACTGTGCTTGGTGCTGCATGGCTGTGCGCACTGCCAACTCTCATTTCGATGGCAAGCAGCTCAAAGAAGCCAACCTTGGTGTCTGCGCTCCCCGCAGCAAGTGGAGTGGAGCTGAACGCCACAAATAAGTAGCCACGCAAACACCTTGGCATCTTGGCCAAACACCACCATTGACGCGAAAGTCACAACGTGCAGCTGGACGCGTATATGCAAACAATACAGGCATACAATACGCCCAAACAAGGGAAGCACAACTTCATAGCAATTCGATGCAATTGAATTTGTATATAGATTTATACTGTATACCTTCCGAGTTCTAGTGCTTCGCTGCGTTCTTCCACCGCACTGCATAGACGTATCCACTGCGAAGAACAAGGCCAGGCCGCCAGAGGCACGCCAGGCCAATGCCGTTCGTTGAAAAACCCGCTCGGGACGAATCTGGACGACAACTGACACGAAGACAGTGCAGTCGTTTTCAGATGTTGCTGCTGCCAGTCTGGATTTAGCCTTACAGGTGACAGGAGATCATTGAGCTAAATCATTAATGTTAAATATAAATATATATATATACACACTGTATATATATATATATACATACTCCACTGTTGCTTTTTTTCAGATTTTACATGATTTTACTGTAGATCTATGTCGAGTGTCAGTTGCCAGAAAAACGAGGCCAAACATCAACGGTCTCGCCCCCCAAGGTCCCCGAGCCCACCGACTCTTCCGACTTTCCAGGTCCCGAGATCCCAACCTACTTGCGATGGCCACCTAGTAGCTTCTTGCTACTAGTAGTAAGGCCAGGAGCCCCTAGTCGCTTCTTGTTACTAGTAGCGATGCCCTTTGCTCCTAGTAGCTTCTTGCTCCTAGCTTCTTGTTCTAGCGATGGCCTCCAACCTAGTTGCAGTTGCATCCCGACCGAGAAATCCGTCTCAGTTGACCGAGCGCGGCACAAAGCAGTGCGGTGACAACGATCGTCCGACCGACAGCTCTGCATCGGGCGATGTGCCGGTCACCTGAGACGATGGTGGCGACTCCGGCAGTGTGGACGGAATAAACCAACAAAGGGAGGGCAAGTCCGGCAAGTCTTGCTTGGTTTGAACATGATTGAACATGCGTTCATATATAGTGTTTCCTCACCGCATCTCACCTCTTTGAATGCAGAAGGGGTCGACCCGTGCCTGGACAAACAAACACAACCCTGAATGTCCTGGCAAAGTCATGCACTGTGGCAAAGAAGACGACGGACACACGCAAGCACAAACGCACAGCTTCAGACAGTCAGCTAAAGCCTTGTTGCCAGGGACTCAACAGTAATTACAAAGAATGATCAATAACTTATAACATCTTATAGCTAAAGCTGACTAAAACAACTGAACAGTGATGTCTACATCTAAGTCTACGTCATTGTTTCTGGTACTGGTACACCACATCTTTCATGTCTGAAACTGTCTGAACATTTCAAAGTATCTGGAGAATTCTGGATACAAGATTGAACAAAGGCTGACCAAGCTTCGCACATTTAAAGATGCCCGGACATTTGTTCCCGGAATAACCTCAGCAATCTGTTTTGTCATGTTCTGTCTGTTCTACGGAAAAGAAGTTGGCAAGGTCGCTGGCATGTGCATGCATCTCGCCCTGCAAAGTGTTGTTATAGAAGAACCACTAATTAGAAGCACCCACAAACCAACCATTTTCTCGACTATTACTAGTTACATGATGTTCACTTGAGAGGTGGGGGACTTGAGTGGAAACTTCGCTCGAACAGCCGCTAAGCTTGCTCCATTCAAATGATGCTTGAGATATGTATAGATATGTGATGATATGTGTATGTATGTGTATGTCCTTTTGTGGGGGGAGAGCCTCCTTTTGAGTCAATACTCAATCCTTCGTCAGGAGAGGCGATAGAGATTCTATCCCACAAAGTCGAAGGTCCTTTCGGGGCACCAAGAACTCGGCTCGAGCAACAGTCAAACCGTCCCTGTGGAGCGAAACGGACGGAAGGAAACTGCGGCGCCCGCCTCTTCCGTTCTCCGAAAACTCGGTCCGAACCGTTTTTGTTCTCTCCCCAAATGGTGAAGTCTCACGGGTTCACGGAGGGAGGTTGAGAATCGGACTCTCCATTTCTGTCCATTCCAAGAAAGGTGAAGACTCTCTGGGTCAAAGCTGTCAAAAACAATGCCGGCCATATGGGCTTGGCCTCAGATGTCAGGTTGCCTTCACCTGCAGTAAAGAAATTCAAACAGGATTCAAACATATCCAAAAACTCCCTGTGAGATCCTCTCAGGTCCCTTTTTCATCTCTTTTTCTATATCCTCATCAAACCTCTCAGCTCCCATGGTATTCCCATGGGATTCATCCCAGTCTGACCTCTCCCTCTGAGTGGCCGGCTGTGGTATTGGCGGCCAGCATGAGCTTTGCAGCACCGGCGCCGCTATTGGACTGGACGTGGGAAGCCTGGGGCGTTTTTTTCAGCGCCGACGCAGTTCTTCGTTTCAAGTCTCGCAAAGCTCGCTCGCCCATTGGGCCCATCACCCAGCTTGCCTATAGCGGGCTCCACCTTGGGCCCATCTACTGGTACATCTACTTGTTTCTAGTAGCTTATTGATCTTATTGTTTCTAATACAGTAGCTTCTTGTTACTACTAGTAAGGTACTTGTTACTAGTAGCGATGCACTTGCTCCTAGTAGCGAACCTTGTTACTGCCAATTGACCTGTCCATCGGCGATCTGACCCGTCCGGCGCGAGCGCCGTGAGCGAACAGCTTTCGGAGCTCGTCCGCCGTTCGCTCCGCGTACGCTGCGTGGCACGCAGTTGGCTGCACTAAGGTCGAAGCACCTCCGACTGTCAGCGAGAAACGCTCCTGAGCAAGCGACGAAGGACCCCCGCGGGCCTCCAAGATCGATCTGTATTCAAAGCTTTGATAAACGCTCTAAGATGTATCTAACTGTCTCCGAGACGGTCTCCTTTGTTTCGATTCAAACGGTGTCCTTCCCCATGTTGGATGTAAAAGATAATCCAGCAAAGCATATTCCCAGTATTTGGGGCCCTTAGTCCACAAGTCACTCGAGTCACTCGAGTAAAATCTGTAAGGACACTATGGTCGCGTTTGTTGGGCGACGACACCCCAAATGCCAAGCTTTGACCCCCAAGGTTCACACCAAACTAGCTTGGCCTCATCAAGTCTGCCCTTATTAGCGCTGGCCTCCAACCTAAATGTGCCAATGTACGCTTGAATTCACCGCAGCCGTTGGAGAACAACGCTTGCACGACAGCTCGAAACACTCGCCCGCACTGAGGGCGCACCGACAAGCGGATTTGCACTGAGTGAGACAGTGCCGAGTAATGGAGGCGAAAGCGACCTCGGTCGTTCGTCGAACATTGGCTATGTTCCTGGGTGCCGGCTATGTAGGAGGTACTTAAGAACAATTGTTTGGTTTCTTGTGATGGTGGGTTTTGATTGATCGTTCTGATTCTGCAGTGCTGATAATGGGGGACATCTTGTTGTCTCAAACAATATGTTTCCGTGACCAACGCATCCTTTGGGAGAGGGCACATGTCTATGTAGGCAAACATGTTCAGTTTATTATTCTATTCACAATTCGCAAGAAAACCCAACATATATATGTATCGAAATGGTTCCTATGATTCTACTTGGTGATTCAGAAGCATGGCACCTCAAGTGAATGAAATTGATTGAGCATGGTAGAACTGCCCATGTTGTTGCTTACTCACCATCACCAAGAGTGAAATTTCATTGAACACTGCCAGCTTCACGTGGCCGTGCAGTCTTTTGCAAAGTCCGCAAACTTCACTCGTCCAAACTTCCTCCGTTTGCACATTGCCGCAACACCTCTTGACCCACAAAACACCAGCGGTACCGTAACGTACCCTAATGAACCAACGCCGCATGCGCATGCAATGCCTGATGCACACCCAGACTCCACGAAACACGGTTGAAGATGGTTGAAGCGTGTTTCACAGACCCTACAAATGGCCTATAGACCGGCTAGTGCTGCAAAGGCTTTTCATCTTCACCCCTTGGTTCAATAAATATATATACATAATACATATATCTATATAGTGAAGGCCTTTCCCCAAAATCATGATAGTCTTTTGCGGACTGTTACTGGTAATGGGATACATCTAGCAGCTAGCAACTTCAAGTCCGAGCCAACCTGAGCGAACCAGGACAATGCCCAGCCCTGATCTGTGCGGAGCATTCGACTTGCATAGTCGATGGGTACTGCTCAGGCTCCGTCGTTTGAAGGTAGGAGCCGAAGCAACTGGGGCAGTGGAGACCGAAAGTAGAAAGGAGCCTCATTGACAAGCAACGATCACGATATGCATTTTTGGCAAAAGGATCATGTCCTTTTGAAATGATAGATCTTGAACCCTATTGAACCCAGCAACAGCTCAGCATCAATCATCACTCAGTGCGAACGGCCACGTGAGAACGGCTCCTGAGGGTCCGACCATTCAGCCCCAACAGTCGCTGGGCTCGCAGCTCCTCACTGCGCTGCTCGTCGCTTTGGTGGCATGTCGTCAGGTCGTGGCATGTCGTCGGGTCGTGGCATGTCGTCGCCCTCTACCGCGGCCCTTCAAAACGTGAACTTGGTTCATCTTGGAATGAATTATAATGAATTGCTTAGGCACACATCCCACAACAGAATCACCCAAACAAACGATGAACATCAATCGACAAGCAAACTTCCAAGCGATCCCAAGTAGTATTTAAATCATATAGTATTCATTTAGTAGCCATGCTTTGACTCACGAAAAAAGACATGGGCCTCTTGCTTTCGGACCGGGCAGCCCCGTCCCGATCTCCTCATGCTTTCGTACCAATCCCTGGACCCGAAGCTCCAAGTCCTTCAGGTGAAGCGAATCGGCATCGTCGGATCGGGCCGGATCAGGTGGGGCGTTCGACTCAATGGTTTCTTGAGCTACCTGGAGTGCACATGCTTAATGGGTCTTGGTCCAAGCTAATTAGATGTGATATGAAGGTACATCTTAATGTGTCCAATATATAAGTACATCTTCAAGGTAAGAGCTCGGAGATTTGTTGCAAAGAAGTTTCTTGTAATCAAGGTGAAACTGATATTCCAAAAGAGGGCAGCTTGAATAACGAGGATTAGTGCCTCATTTTCGGCATGGTCAGAAGAAAGACTTGAAGAACAAGTTCCACGTTGTACATGAGTCAGGTGCTTCAAATAGTCCAAAACCATGTAGAGAATGTCCATCCCCAGAGACATCATGCTCTCACCACCCAATGCTGGCCTGGCCCAACAAAATACCCGCATTTGTGCGTGACACGTTCCCGAAAGGGTGTCTTCCTGCTTTTTCACTAAAGCTTTGCGCAACTGAGCTGCCCTAGGCTCTAAATGCTCTAGGTACTTCGAGGTGCTCCGCACTTGAAGCACTCTTCCATGCTGGGAAAGTTCTTTGCCCCGCATTCGCGGCATTCCCACTTCACCTTCTGCTTCCTTTCCTCCTCTGCCTTGGCGCGTGCCGCACGATCGGCTTCCGCGTTCCGGCTCTCCCCACATCGCGTGCAATATTTGGAGGTGTCGAAGTTCATGGTACCACAAGCACTGCAGGTCCATTTGGTCTTCCTAGCTGGTGCTGGTGCTGGAGGCAGCTCTTTTCCAGGAATGCCTTCAAGCTTGGAGATCACCAATGAGAAATCCCCTTGTTGGTGGAAGGAACTCCGTGTCTGGAAGGCAATGGATTGCACGCGTTCCAGAGACAAAGGCTGCTTCATATCCTTGACTTCCTCTCCTAGATCAACAACTCTGACTGCAAACACCACCAACACATGCCAGCAACCCAAATTCAACACATGCATATTATCATGCCCTAGGCGTCGATGAGTGTGCTTACTTTAGTCGAGGGGATTGATCAACTTTAACCAAGTTAAACTCGTGTGTCGGTAAATGACTGAGTTTACCCCGTCATCTTTGGCCATCAAGGCTCAACATGGTTCAAACACGATGCAACCAATGAAAATCAGTAATCTTTCTGAACACAGCATTATTCAAGAAGAAAACTCAGAATCATTTGCATTCATTTGCGTATAATATTGTGTTTTTCCAAAAAATTTGGCGAGCCAACGATGGCTAATGGAAGCTCCGTGAAGCAACTCTCCGACGGAGAAGTTGCGGAACTGCCAGATCCGCAGGAAGAAACGTGTCAACACAGGACGGTTGGAGATCATGCAAATCCATGCAAATCCAATATGGGATGGTTAAACTTCAACGTTCTGGTATGTCTGAGTTTACACTGATCATTGTGAAATGGATTAGGTACTACTTCTACAGTCGATGGACATATGGGGTATATACACGCACACTCACACACATCCTTAATCATAATTAGCACTAGTGCCAATACCAATTATATATATATAGTCGCACAATGGTCACAAGTAAATAGTACTCGCTAACATCAACGTCCCATGTGTCGCATGTGTCGTCACATGGCCGTCATGTCGCATCAGTCCTCGAAGTGTTGGCTGAAAATCCCTGAAATACATCTCCACTCGACTTCCGGGTCTCGCCTGAAAGCGATACACATGTTCCACGCCTGCCGGAGCGCCTAACATCCGCAGGGCGATGGCGTATTCCTCGCCATCTCCGTGGTGAATGTCGAGCACAAGGCCCTTGAGCTCGGACAGGGACGGCAGAAAGGATGCTTGCAAGGAGACACCCGCGAAGGCCTGATCCACCTCTGATAGAAGCCCTGCGAATTCAGCGAAGCCGCTCGAATCGGTCAAGCCTTTGAAGGAGGCAGTTGAAGTGCCCCCACGGATGTCGTCGGTTTCAGCACGCCATCGACTAAATTGCCAAGCCTCTTTGCCCAAAAGGCATCGTCCAACAGTATCTGATGCCTCAGGCGCCTGAGGCACCTTGGGAGCTTGCGGTCCAAAGGCAAAGCACGGGAAGGTGATTCGACTGAACCACCAGCCGTATGCTACAGCGGAAAAGGCTAAACGGAGAATTCTCCGTCTCAAGCGCGACATGGTTTCTTATGATTGCAATCTTATGAGCTATGGAGCTATAGCTACTAAATTATAGTCATAATTTCTAGAGGCAAAGTAAGGTGAATGGTTCAACTAGAGTTTGCTCATGCTTGTCTACTGATTCGTAGCTCTCATGTTCTGCAAATGCTGACCATCCTTCAGTATACGGATGCCCTGGACCACTCATTCTCCCCTACTCTCTGTGCTCCAAGAGAATCAACAGCTACGGAACCAAACAAGCGACCTTTCGCGAGAAACACCTTTCGGCGACCTTTCTTGCGCCGTGCCTTCTCAAGTCGAGTCGCAACTTGAAATCCCCAAGCCCTCGTGACGTCGGTGCTTCCGCCGGTCGTCGGTCGTGCCGACCGGTCAGTCTATCAAACATGACAACGAGGGAACCCAAGAAGTGACATAGTCTATCAGCCCACGTGGTCTCTTTGGGCTTTCCTGCTATCTTCCCACTTGGGGCTGGCAGTCCTGCAGCCTGTCGTCCACCAAGCTGACTGCACCTGCATACTTGGTGATTCGCAGTAGGTAGGCCCGTTCGGATGCAATACATCCTGTGCAGTACCTTTCGGAGTGCTTCCACCTCTAAGGTCGCTCGCCTTGCATCTCAGAATTGGGCCCAGCTGGTTCCATTGGGTTGAACGTTTAAAGATTGTGCTCCACACTCCACGAGGGAGCGCGCATGACCTTCAGTGCACAGTGAGGCTACTTCCAATCAGTTTCCTTCTTTGATCTTTTTGGTGATGTTTAGCTGCACTTTGGGAAGCTAGCAAAAGGCTCTCTTCACGTTGGAACAACCATCTAGGCAAACTGTAATAGAGATGGAATTACATTTAAGTAGTTAATTGACTATATTTACCCTAGAAGTCCAAAGACCACTTTTGGCAACACCAAAGTAGAAGAAGCTCCTTTTTCTTTTCGATTCACCTAAGGACCATTTAAGAAATGGTCTTGGACTCGCAGGGTTTAGCCACAGCCGGGGCACAGGGTATGGTTCATGGAACGCCTTCATGAGCCCCTGAAAGCCTCTACAAAGCCGCGTTCGTGCTCGGCCTTTTTGCTCCGGATGTTGTGCGGGAGGTTGGCGAAACGCCGCAAGATGTGTTGTATCACCGAAAATGGTTTTTCAACATCACGACGAGCGGTCATGACTTATGACCTTCCACCGTCGACCCAAACACACCGAGCAATCGTCTCGTCGTCGCCTTCGTCCAAAGTCTCAGCTAAGCGCACACCCGGAAGGCCATACTTCTCCTGGTCCAGGAAACCACCAGGTGGAAAAGCACGGGGTGAAAGCAGACGGTTTTCGAACTGATGTACTGGGGGTCGAAAACCCATGTTACCTCCATCTAGATACATGTAAATGATACGGAAACGAGGCCCACCTGGTAGAGATTGACCTATATACATTGGGCTGATTTTAGGTGGATCTACATACATGTGCCTATGTCTGTGCAGGTGTCCGGTTGGGTGATCTAAAGCCTTCTTTTCTCGCTCCAGGCTTGATTGCCACTTGATTGCGCTTTCTTGTAGTCGATTGTAGGCGACTGGTGTTATGCAGCTCATTGGATGCCTTAAAGGACCTTTGATTTATCCTGTGCAGCCTTCCAAGGTCCATGACGGCAGGCTGAAGAGGAAGCACATGATGTTGGATTCATGTGAAAATGGTTGGGTTGAGAAGCTTTTGAGGCAAATCCGGCTATACCCAGCCGGTGGTCTCAGGGCCCTTTCGAGGTTCACAAAGCATTCCACTTCAACTCCAAGCCGGTGTGCCCATACAGACTTCCAAACAATGGAATATTCCTTGTCTTTTGTTTGAATCGTTGATATTGTCCTTCTTGTGCTCTACAATCGAATCCAAAAACATTCTAAGATGGTGCCAGCTTCAAGTCAAGGAATCCAGCAAATCATGCTGCTCTGTATTTCTCACACTAAGCCCATGGCATAGAAACTGCGCATTGCCTGCCAGGTGACGCTGTTGGATGTGGACCACCGAATGTGAGCATTCCAGTGGCCAACCATCAAAAATTGGACCTCATAATCGCATCGTCTGAAAAAAAACACGCTCCAATTATTTAACAATTTCCCATCAACGTGCAAGCCATGCACAGAGCCCAATGTGCTTCACAAGATCCGCGAGCTTTTCTGAAAGTAAACCAGCACTGCATTGGCTCCAAAAAAAATGGAAAAGCATTGCACCGAAGTCACTGTTTTGCTACCCAGCCCATGGAGAAACATTGCTACCCAGCCCTCTGAATATCTGTCCTCATCGCCGAGTATTCGATATGCGCGATGTACCTGGCCGATGCTCAGATGTACCACCAGTTGCATCGCCGGGTACGTGCTTTCGTTCATTTGATCGTCCAAAGTGACATGTTATATGATGTAAATAATTGCTATGATCTCTAATATAATATCATTGCTATAGATCTCTACCAGCCAATGATGAACGGATGAATGTGTGTCTCTCTCGCAAAAGGAACCTGCAAGGAAGGCTGCATCTGCTCTCCCAGGGTGTGTTTGACTTCTGGAATATCACCGTTTCGTCCCACGAATTCGCCAGCTTTGCGCGAACGAAGGCCGCATTCTCCCCTGCAGGATGGGCGGGGGTGGGATGGATGGCAAAGCAGGCAATCCTTCCCCCCAAGCATTCAGGTTATTCCCAAGCAGGAAGTTCCATGATTCCTCCAGGTAGTTCCCCTCCATAGTTACCTTTCCTCCAAGCTGCATGGAGTTGTGGCATGCATTCTTTGCATTCGAGGGTCTTTGCTGCCAGTGATCTGGGTCGATCGTGGTGCATCGATCCCCATCGTTGGGCACTTCTCAACCGATCAGCCCAGGTGAGCCCAGGCATACTCCCAGGCCTTTTTCGGCCAAGCTCCGGTCATCGTCATCCATGGTCATCGGTCATCCGGACGCATGGGGCGCCCAAGGCTGTCCGAACCACGGAGAGGTCATCGAACCACTCGCGCCTTCTCCACCACTGGCGGAGCGCTTGTCTGGATGATACAAGCGTGAGAGGTCTCGGAAAGCCACGCGAACCTGAGAGCCGTTCTGGACACGTTGGCGGCTCAGTCCATGAAGTGAGAGGAAGATAAAAACCAAGGTGTCCCTGGCCTCTAATCACAAGTCAACCCTGGACTTCAAACAGTGACGATGTTCTTAGTCCATTGCATGGGTATGGCTCGAAATCGCAAAGAGCAGAAGACAAGGTCAACTGGGCCATCTGAACACACTCTGCTCACCAGGATGACTTCACGTGATCAATCGTTACAATCCCTGCTCCACGTGGAGCAGGTCGACCGAGGCGTCGGTCGAGGCGTGTGTCGTCGAACGTGCCTCCTCGACTGAAGCACCTGGCTGCAAATGCAGTGTGTCCCAAAGGTCCTCGTCATCGGCCATCAACAGGTGGCGATCTCACGAGATTGTCGATGTTGTTCCGTGGGCTGCATTGAAGTCATATGAAGCCTTATGAAGCCTGAATATTTGAGGGAAACACGTGGCTTAGGCTTAGGATAGGGTTCTTATACCAAGCTGCTTGGAAGCTATGAGAGTCTGAGTTTGGACAAATAACATCAAACATGACATCAAATAACAAGATACAAGCCAACTTTCAAGAAGGGTGGGAGCAATGTCACTATTATTTAATAATACCTGAAGTTTGATCTTTAGAGCTTCCACTTCGTTTCTGAATTCCCCTTGCATTTCTTCAGGCTCTTGCACTATTCATCCTGCAATGTCCGATCACAGTCCAGAATCCAGTTGAGTGACTCTCGCAAGCGCTTTGAGCACAGCTTGTGGCAGGAGAATCTTCACATGGAGAACATTCAGGATTCCCTTTGTCTGGGTAGGCCTTTTACTTTCCTGTCAGGGTAGACTGTCCAAAGTACCCAAATCGGTGTGGTGACATATTGATTGGCGTGTGAAATGCTATGTTGCTGAGTTAACCAACCCACAGCAATATCATGAAGGATAACGACAAATCATTCTGATCGCGCCATGCCATTCTTGCCCTGTTCTCAAACCTTGTGTTCAATACTTATTTCTTTCTTAGCATAGAACATTTGAGAAATGACGGGCCTCTCGCAAAGTCTTATCGACTTTCATGCTTCAATTCTTTGTGGAAACTGGAAACCCATGAACGTGCTTAGAAAAGCAAACAACACCTTGTACACAAAGGCAATCTACCAATATCCATTCTTGAGAAAAAATGCAATGCGTTTGATCACATGAAACCAGAAAGACGAGAACCAACTCCGGTTTCCCGGCGGCTCATCCTTTCGGCTACGCGGAGTCTACTCTGTTGAACTTCGGACTGCTGCCGCGTGAAGCTATAGCAGCTACGTGCAATCTTTGTGCCACGTGAAACGTCGATGTCAAATCTGCATCACCGTCTGCCGGCCAAATAAACCTCCACAGTGGAGGCTCAGATCTTTGAACACATGCTAAATGTGGATGTTCGGCATTTCTTCCAATAAATAACATCCCTTAATGACATATATATATATATATACGTTCAAGAACACCTGCAAAAGACTTCAGCCAGTTTGAGAGAAGAGGTTGAGATTAATGATACCAACTACAGCATGCTGTGGAACTTAAGTCAAATGTCTGAAATTTATATCAGAATCAGAAACCAATAATTGATAATAATTGGTACGAGGACGAGTACTGCTGAAATCTGTGTCGACCCGCAACGGCAGTCAGGGACAGTACTGCGCTTCGTTAAAATTATCAGGAAGAACGGACGCCAATCCAAACTGTAGTGTTTGGCTGCAGTCAGTAGCTTATATGGGGATCGTGCTTCGAGCAATCAAGCATACCTTTTTGAAATCAATTCTGTGGTTTTACCGGGGCAATGGTGGGGCAAAGGCCTTCGCCCCTCACCGACCGTTTTCAATCGATCACTGCCATGCCTTCAAAGCCTTGGACACTGCTTTGCCAACAAAGTCATCACGCCTGCAGATCATTCGGGAGATGTTTAGACCCCTGGGGATGGCACCATGGGCTGCTTCGAAAAACCGGGTCAAACACCCAAAGTCCAAAGTAGACAACACCATGGTCCGTTCTGCCACTTGCACGTGTACATATGTATATATGTGCATATCGTATATTGTGACGTCGTGTCAGCTTTTTTTCTCATCCCCTCATCGAAACTGATGCTAAACATTGGTCCATGTGTATCATCATGTAACATGTATCAAAAACTACGTTTGGGCTCAAACATTGGTCCCCGGGTGCAAGCTACTTAAATGTGGACCCTGGAAGTGGGCGAAGTCTAAAGATCAAGCTGCCCACCACAAGCTGTAAGCACCTGAAAGACCAACACATAGTGCTGTATTTTAATGACCATAGACAAGAATCAAACCAACATGGAAAACAAACAAAATGACCCATCAAGTCCAATTATAATTACAATCGTTTTGTAGATTTCAGTTGGATGTGGAGCAACAAGACAAGTTTCTTTCACAGGATTCTGCCGAGGTTGCCCAAATCGACCCTTTCCTGGGTTTCCGGGCGGGGGGAGCGAGCGTACAGCGTGGGCCGTGCGTGCGAAACCGACCAAACCAGTGGGTGACACGTGACACGGTGGCGGGTGGCCTTGCAGCATCTGGACATTGTGCTAGCCATGTCAACAAAGTCTGCCTCGATTCCTGGAAAGCTGCGGAGTGGGAGAAGTGAAGTCCCCAAGAGATCTAGTCCAACGAGTTCGGAAGTATGGCAACATGTGTGGCACAAAAGGAGCGGCACAGTTCGCGCGTTGGCGTTCCTGGAACAAGTGACTACCTCATCCCTGAGTAGGGCTGGGGGCAGGACTACTCACACCTGAAATATGAAGGCATTCCTATCAGGCAACTTGTCAACATCAAATATCAAGTGAATGCTTTTCGGTCGAACAACAAGCAGTTCTAGATTGCACCCACAAAGTCAGCGCTCCAGAAGAAGGTACCCCCAAAAATGCCAAGACCTGTGATGGATCCACACTGATCCTCGGTGTTGCTTGTTGAACAAATCTTTTCCACGATGTCAGCCTGCGCATCTTGACTGACTGATGCTGACTCACGGCTGGAATTGACGATCTATTAGGTAGAAAGCTGACCCCAGTAACTTGAGCTATACAGTAGCTTCTTGTTCCTAGCAGCGATGCCAGGAGCCCCTAGTAGCTTTTTGTTCCTAGTAGCGATGCCAGAAGCCCCTAGTAGCTTCTTGTTACTAGTGGTAAGGCCAGGAACCCCTAGTAGCGATGCCCTTTGCTCCTAGTAGCGTCCTCTACCCCCCCGCAAATACAGCTATCTCTGCTATGGTCGCATCAATCTCACTACATGGCAATGATTGGAATCGCATAGTTGCTCTGTGCACACCTGATCCTCGCATGGCAGATTTCTGCACTATTGCCACAACATACAGAATTCCGCACAATTTCGGCTCTGGGGTCCACAGAGCGACAAAATCCAACTTGCATTTCTAGCGGACCACACCCAAACGGGAACAGCCTCGGAACAGAATGAAACAAATTACCCGCGATTCCAGCCTGAGCATCCTCTTGTAAGGATTCATCAAGCTCATCGGAATCCTCTACGCCAAAGACGGCCGGGATCGCTTCCATGAACCACCTCGAGCGACCGAAGCCACCAACCTCTCGGAGACCAAGTCATACAGGCGGTGCGACAAAGCAAGTCACAGGTCAAGCACCCTTCGGCCACCCGGTCGCATGACGACTGGTGCGACCGGTGTAGAAGCATTGGCGGTCCGGCCGTTGTGATGACTGGGCGGTCCCATCCGCCGAAACGAGGTCGACACGGATTCGATATGCAAAAAACAGTTGTGACTGGTCCAAGTTTAACGCGATCGATAATTAAAGTGGAACGCGGTGGACATGATGCTTTAGAGTTGCACAACGAGGCATGCACACAGACAGGAAGGTACACGAGAAGTGCAAGTCTGCAAGCTGCATCTCCGAACAATTTTTCAACCAACAGTGTCAATCAAGCAATCCAAGTCCTTCCGCGAGATGGAGCTGTTGAAGACTGAGCTCACAACATTTCCATGTCGGTCTGCAAATTCTTCTGCTTAAAATTGAAGACAGCCTCTGATCAACTGTCAGGACGAGCCAAGGATACACTGTTGAGGGCCTTGAGTGGATGTGTAGCGGGGCACTGTTTTGACTGACACTGAAAGTATGATAAATTGTGTGTATATGATATTATCTGAAATAAGTCATTAGCCCCTTTCGATTCGGAAGATAATCTTCCATGATATCCCCCTACCAGGGTGGTCTACCAGCTTCTGTGCTGCTACTACTGCTGTTCTGGGAGGGTCTTTCACAACGCCATGTTGTGTCCACTGGCCATCCCCAAACAATGCCCACGCTTCCCAAGAAAGAAGCTGAGGCAGTTGGATGACACAAGGTGGCAAGCGGTCCATAGTCATAGAGTAAGCCCGAGCACCTATTAAAAGCGGACCCCTATTAAAAAAAAGTCATGTCGGATCCCCCTAAGTACAGTTTTTATTTGTTTCTAAATTACCGCTCTTTCAAGCCGCTACTAAACTACCAACATGGCCGATTCTGGAGGGGTTTTTCTTATTAGGTTCCAAAAACAACCGTAACTGCCCACCTCTGTCCGCCCTGTCTATCCACCATGACACGCCGCGCTTACACCAGCAGGCTTTCCTTCCCCAAATGGCACGGACTCACGCAAACGCACTTGCCACCAAGGTCATCACTATTCTAATGAAGGTTTTTGTAGGGGAAAAGGAAAACCCTTCGATCTGGAGGTTTTTTGCATTTTCAATACGAGTTTAATAAAGCCTGGTTCTTCAAAGTGACCTTTTGATAACCTGGTTTGAGGTCACTTAAGCCTCGTAAGGGTCACTTAGGAACCTTCAAAAGGTCACGTTGAAGAAGCTGGAGGATTTTATATAAAATTGTCCTGGATTACTTTTAGGTTTTGAAACGCTTTCCAGGTGACCCTAATTGGACCACCACGATTTCAGGGGCCCCCTATTAAAAAAATGCGACCGAGGTTTCTTTATTAGGGGGGGAGGCGCGTTTTTTAATAGGTGGACTGGATTAGTCACGTGTAACTTTCAAAACGTTCTTTGAAGAGTCCTCGTCTATCTATCGTTTATTTCTATAGTAGTAATGCCCTTTGTTACTAGTAGCGATGCCCTTGTTCCTAGGTTCTTGTTGCTAGTAATGCCAGGAGCGCCCCGTTCGTAGCAGGCAAGTAGATAAGAAACGTAAGGCCCAGCCAGGCTTTCGTTTGGGACTCAACTACCCTTCTCATGGGATTCCGAAAAGCGAGCTGCACGACCCACCGGTACCGCTGCCCCGCCGCCTCCCCTTGGTTCATTTTGGCTCGGCACTCGTGCTTGGACGGATCATCCTGCGGGGGCAAACACATTCCACGCCACCCTGGTCACAAATCAATAATTCTCATTTACTTGTGGGTGGCGAGGGATTTTCTCCTCAAGCGTGCTTGTTATGTTTAGTGTCCCAAACCTGACCAAGGCGTCTGTGCTTTCGCCAAAACCGATCAACCGACTGATTGCGCAGGTGTCCACATTCCAGGTTTGGTTCCGGAAACGGCAGGAAGCGTCAGCACAGCACTCAACAACTGTTGCGATGTTTGGCATCGAATCAGCTTGGAAATAAGAATTGTATAGAATTACACAAATGATCACAAATGAACGAAATTCAAACAGATTCAACAATTCAACAAATTTCAAACAGCCATTTTGGACGTGTTCACATGAACAACAACGGGAACAACAAGGAGCAGTCCAACAAAACAACTACAAGTTCTGGTGCCAGCTTCGACTGCAACAGAATACAGTATGGGCTGGGTCCCTCTGGTAGAAGTGGCACTAGCCGCTAGCAACGTTGGATCATGTCTGATATGAAGAGTGGGTGGTCGTAAAAAGGAATCGGCGCCTCGTCATCTTCTCCCAAGGAATTAAACCTTAGAATGCAAGCGCAAGTCGTGGTTCTCAAGGTTTTGACCAACAAAAGTCAGGATTTAAGGCACAGGTTCGGAGGGGGATGTATGACATCGAACGATTGCAGGAGTGTTCGAACAAGATCATGTCATAATATCAGAAGTGGTGGTTCCCTCGTCAGACATGCGTTTTCTGGAGTGGGAAAAGCCAAGTTTGGTGAGTCTGATCAACAGTCGTGGCCAGTCGTGGCCTGTCGCGCCCAATGAGTCGACCCGGGCACACCGAAAACAAAAGCCCAACGACTGTGGGACCTCCCCAAACACCGAAACGACTGTGGGATGTTCTAGGATGTCCCAAACAACCTATGGACATATTGAAAAAACATACATGTTTTTTTTTTAATGGCCTGAGATGTTTAAGGTTTTTTTTTCACGTGAGTCAACATAGATGACTCTTCCCGATGGGGAGATGTGGGGAGTTATGTTGTTGGGCACTTCCACCACCCCTTCCGCTCATCGCCCAGCGGCGCCGCCCGTGACATCGCCCGGAGCAAAAAGGTCCGCTACTCCCACTGGGCCGAGACCGTGGCTGCAGGGAGACCGCTTCCGTCGCTGATGACGGTCTCGACCGTCGCAAATCGAACAAAGGGTCAAACCGGGTCACATTGGACCAAACGGCCGGGAGACCGGCCGTTAGAACAGCACGATCTTGGACTGCTTCACTTTGACATGACATGGGTGGTCGTTCCGTTAGCACAGTAAGGGGCCGTCACGCGTCACTTTGTTGCCTGTTTATATTGCCACAAGTCGTTACATGTCATGTATGTCTCATACAAGTAGAAGCCATCCCAACAATCACTTTACAACCGCGCCGCTTTTCCAACACGCGCTCGTTCCACAACAGCTTCGCTGAACGTGCGCTAGCACTGGATAACAGCATAACCTGTCAGCCGGAGCAGGACAAGGAACTTTCAGTTGACCTTCACATTTTCCAGGTGTAACCACTGCTTGAACCACCAAATACACATAAAACAAGGGAACTCTGGGCAGTTGGAATCGAGTTGACAAAACAGTGTTTCCTGTCCCCGCAGTCGCAACTGAGCGATTTGTGACATCTCAATGAATAAGCCACATCAAGCATGGGTCAAAACTCCAAACCAATTCCTTTCGCCATTCCTTTCGCAAAGTTTTGGGGCTTGGGTCGTTGACTTCGCCACCTGGGAAGACCGACTATTAAAGAACACTTCTGACTGACTTCATGAAACACATCTTTACATTCTATCGCCTTTAAACAAATTAACATCTTCTTATCGTTTCAACGGGCCAACTGAGGCCGAATGGAAAAACAAATGATCAAACATCAAACGATCCCAGAAACGGTCAATGATCGGATTCAGCTGATCGGTCAAGAAGCCGAGACAAAGATCAAGAGAGAGAGAGAGAGATGGCCTGGAAATCCGCAACGGAATCCGTTTGACCTTCTGATATCTTCTGATTGCGTTCTTTGCCGACGGGACACGTGCATGGGAGACTCAGTTCCGAAACTGTTCTGAACCCGTCCCACTCATCGATCCGATGGGTGCCTGCCTTCCGGTATGTCTCCGCTGCTTTTGCGAGCCTGTCTGGTGCTACCCGAAACCGTCAGGCGCGTCGTTTCGAAGCTCAATCACATGAACAAGCACTAAGTGAAAAACATCTGACCAAACCCAATTGGTGGTGATGAAGTCAGGTGCTTTTTTGTTGCCATGGAACCCTGCCATTGGCCATGCCGTTGGCCCAGTCGCGCCGCTTTCGTGGTTCGGGCCCCAACGCCTTGAAGTACATCACGGCCGAGGTGGCACACAGGACGAGGCCAAGCCAGTTGACGGCTGTAATTGGAGTGTTGATGGACTGGCGAGTCGGTCCGATCGGTGCTGTCTCGTGGTTTTGGCCCCCTCGGAAGTCATGTTGATTCGTTCTCATCAGTGTCATCAACGATTATGGTTATGCGCCGTGTAGACCGGACACAAAAACAACCACTCATTGCGACTGCCGTAGACCGATCAAACACGAGAAACACATGAGTAATCCTCATCACCTCATCTGTTTTCCGTTCCTTCTGCTTCTCTCTCTCTCTCGCTCTCGTCTGTCTCCCTGTCTCCCTCTCTGCATGCCTCTTTCTCGTGGGGCGTATCGGTCGTGCCACCGGTCGTTGGGATCCTCCCGTCCATCCGCCGTTGGGCGAATTACTCGCCTCAATGGGCAGAATGGTCACCGTGTGGAAGGGCACCAGGAGAGCACCGAAGGTCGCTGAGGTGATCTGGATCAAGCGAGTGGAGCCAATGACGCTCAGCGCCTGGCAGAAGCCTCGTGCCGTTGAACCAAAACACCAAAGCGATGAGGTTAAAAACAACATCTTTTAACTTTTGAACAGTCATGAGAGCATTGGGTCTCACGGAACCTTTTGATGTATAAAAGGCAAGCTATCATATAACTATTTCTTTCATCTGGCGCTCATGATACAGCAGTTGATACTTCAAACTTGGATGAACAGCCCCAGATTCTGAGGACTGCGCCTATGATGCAAAGCATTTGGAAGACTGAACCCTTCAACAGCCAGGGAAGTGACCAAAAGCCGCTCCACCTTGGCAAAGAATAGGGTTTGAGCCCTTCCAGGTTGAAGCAAAACATGTTCTTTCGGGTACATCTGTCATCCATCTACCCTCTACTGGTCTGATCCCTCTTATGAGCATCATAGTGTGATGTGTCATCGATCAGCTCCATGATACTGTGAATACTGTGATATGTTTCGCTTTCGCTTCTTGAAACATCACAAACGGTCCATCTCAACACCCGTCGCACCACTGAACACCTGGGTGGGTGGGGCCAACGACCAACGGGTGGGGCCAACGACCGCCAGGGAAGGCACTCGTAGACCAGCGACCTGGGTGGGCGGACCCATACACCAGTTCGCATGAGTTGGGCGTCTTGTCTTCAACATCTGTTGCAGCAATTTTCACAGTGGAACGCAACTCTTCAAAAAGAAGTCTGAGGTGCGTTGTTTTCCAAACATTCTAAGCAATACGAGTGATCAGGTGGCAGAATTACGAAGACTGGCAGGCTAAGTTTCGACTGTTCAGCTTACAATGAGGCTAGAACGTTGTTTGTTCCTAGGCTAATGAAAAAGTTTGTGCCTGCTGCCCTTACCAATCAACCGTTTGCATATACATATAACTATCACAATAAGCCTAGTCTTCCTTTTTGACCTGCGAGAAGGATGGAATCACAGGGAGCCTTTAACTATCTTTAAATGCTCTCAAGACTGAATGGCTGGTCCTTCCTATGTCATTGTGTTTGGAATGTCATGTGCTTGTTTGGTTTCAGTAGCTAACAGCTAACACACTTTTGCACTTTTTCTTGAAACAGTTGATCTGCAGTCCCGGGCCTGGGGGATCTCGGACACTGGTTGCGTTATTTCGTGGACATCCACCTTTCCACCTGTGGTCCCTCATTATAACATCGTTGGAGGTTGGAGGTTGGATGAAGAGGAGATGGCTCAACCACCGCGTTGTCTCAAGCGCCGGGCAGTTCGACACCGACCGTGGAGCCGGCCAAAAGGACTGCCCTGGCCACGTGGAGCGCCCCCGGCCTGGGGTCAAATGAAGAGCCGGCACACGGAGTCAAATGCATTGGTTGGATTTCTTGGTTTATGAGTGACAAGAATGACATACTATAGCACTTTCTCAACTGTGACTCCCTCAGTTTCCTAGTTTCCTTGGAATGTAGGTTCTTGTTGAGTGGGGAAACCAATTGCAAAAAGGTAAATAGGTTACCCGCGGTTATCCACTGACTGGGGATACTATTATATATATATATACATGAAACATCATGAAACCATGCAAACCCATGTCGCAGCGTCGGACCAGTTCGTGTCTCGACGGAAGCGGCGCCGGTGACCGCCTCTCTCCGAGGTCTGGTGACATGATGCGCTGCGTCAACAAACACCGCGCCACGGTGATGACCTCAGTCTTGGCGGTGACGGAGGGGTCGTCTTAAAAGGTTCAACAAGGGACATACTAAAATGAGAGAGAAAGAGAGAGAGCGAGAGAGCGGCTTAGAACGGCATTGAAGCGATCTCATGATTTGGGGTGTTTTCGGGACCCAACTGCACGAATTCGATGAATTCGGATGGTGCTTTCGTGGCCCGAGTGGCCCCGTGAGGTGCCCCAGGTCTTCCATCCGCCGACTCCCAAGCATCCACCGGTCAGGTCTGAGATCCCAGGCAACAGCCACAAAGGCCCATTGGAGAGCTGTGAGTCCCTGTCCAAAACTCTTTCCGAATACAGTCTAGGAGTTGTACCGTTGATAGATGAACGGTCCAGTACCTGCTATAGCTGCTATACAGGTGATATATATCGTCTTGTAAGTCACTGGTTCCCACATATGACTATAAAACCGACTGGTCAAATAGTGGTCACTGCTGATATAAAACACAATATACACAATGATATATGTTTTTGAAACTGCGCTGGTTCCCACAGCGTCCATCAACAATGTCTGATGTCAACTAAGGCACAGCTTCACCGCAGCTTCCGTAGCTCCACGCAAATCAATCAAGACCAAGTGAGCAAGTGTTTTGGACATGTCCTCTTGTTTGGGCCTATCCTATTACCAGTGGATGAGAGTCAGCAAAGGTTTTTCTCTAAAACTGTGCTCATCCTTTGACTGGTATGCACCCTGTAGATATATGATATATGGTGTATTGAAAAAACATACGTCGTATCCTAAGCTACAAAGACGGAGAGAATAATAGAAGAGATCGCCCGGGGCCCAGGGTGATTTGTCTTTGTTTTTCCTCACTGTCGCGCGTTCTATTGCTTAGCTGTTGGCTGCCTTTAAGCGCCCTGCGTGAATCTGCGTGACATCTTCTGAGGCTTTGCTGAATTTCTGGAGTTCTGACCTGGCAACCTGCTTCAAAACCCCTCACTAAAGCTCATCGGAAGCATTGCTCCAAACAAATGTTCCAGGGATTGCGCACGTGCCCAGGGGAAGGGCGCAAAATTGATGCCAGCCGTCTAGGAAGCTGAGCAACACCGGGCATTGCGCCTCAGGAACCCGCCAACCCCCTGGGTCAGAGACGCACTACGACTACTACTACTACTACTACTACTACTACTACTACTCCTACCACTCCCACTACTCCTACTCCCACTCCCACTCCTACTCCTACCACCACCACCACCACCACCACTACTACGACTACAATTACCACTATCAACTACCATCACTACTAATTATTGCCAATTGCTGTTGCTGCTAATTACTACAACATACTACAACTGGTGCTACTGCTATTGCTAGTGATACTGCTACTCCTACTGCTGCTGACCTGAATAACTGGTTACTTTGGTGGGATTTAGACCATTGAGACTCCCTCAATCGTTTGCTTAGGGGGCTGGGTGGAAGTTAAAGTTTAAGATCCATCTCTGGGAACATATGTCTTCTTATGGGCCTTTGATAGCCTTTGATCGCTCCGGATCTGGATCATGCCAGGTCTTCGCATCTTCTGTTGCCGGAGAGCCACAGAACGCTGCCCGCCTCTAAGGAAGGCCAAGAGCCTTTGACGGCCAACATCCCACCAAAAGACGCCACCTGTGCAAGCGCATCGAACACTGGTCGTCTTGCGTCTGTCTGCCTTGTTCGTCCTGTGCAAGCGCATCGAACACCCCTCGTAGTCTTGAGTCTGAGATGGATGTTCAGGGATCGTTGGCCCAAGCAAGGTCGAACCAAGTCAAGACAGTAGGAGAATCGTTTAGGCTAATCGGAGACACCTAGATTTGCTTCACCAAGAGTCCAAGAGTCATAAAACAGACTGACTAAGACTACACGGACTCGCTGTCCGCTCAGGACACGACTCCCGCTGCTGTGAGAAGCTCCTGTGCTCGCTGGAAGAACAGCCGACCACACAGTGGGCCGTTCCACTCAGTGGGGCTTCTGGATTTGGGGCAATTCCCTTCGAATCTGAGTGGTGCTATTGGTACCACATTCTTCCATGTTGCCTCAGTTTGAGTCGAGAGGATTGATACGGAGTCTCATTGTTTTGGGATTGCTGAGGGTTTCGGGGGGGGTCGATTTGCAGGCTGCACCACGTTGGGTATGCGGACCTGACACATCATGCAATTGACCACTTTAATAAAAGAGCTGGAATGTCCTTTTGTAGCACCTCCATTCCTGGCTGCAAACAACTGACAAGCTCAGCACAGCAAAGAACAAGGCCTCTCTTTGTCCAACCCTAGTGCGCAGAATACAAGCAACGAGGACAAGTCTGAGCATGCCGGGAAACAACACGCAAAAACAAGCCAAGGTACTAAAATAGTTGCTGCCTGAAGTGCAGAAAGCGTGGCTTTTCCAGCGTGATCTTCATATGTGCACGTGGAATCCAAAGCAACTTAAAGGGCTTAGGCTTCTCAACATCACCAATCCACCCATCAGTGCCATCAGGGTATTGACTTTTTGACCTTACTTATCTTGTTCTCAGGCTCTGGCTAGCAACAAGGATGGTAGCCACCTGGGTGCCAAGTGGACAATGTTCGATAACCCGAAGAATGAAATAGTAGGCGCAACCCAAAAGTGCAACTCATCACTTGCAGCAAATGGTTCAATCGTGTTCAATCTATCCATCTTTGACGGCTCTCATACACTTCCCAGCATCTTGTGACAGAATTGGCAAAACCAATTTCTCTCCACAAGCTCGTGTCAACTCCGGCATCACGTGGCCACTCACCTCTGCAGGCAAGTGGCAGGAGTCAACATGTAGAACCAAGCAGCCATCGTGTGGTGAACGTTCGATAACACCTCGAGCACTCCGGTCGGTTCCGGTTGCAAGGTTCTAGGATCTGGTTGCTGCGGTTTGTCCTGACTACAGGCAGGACTGCAGGAGAAACAGCGTCAGGGTTTTGGGATTCACTGCGTTTCGGGACGTTAAAGGTATGATTATGATCTGGTCAAAGGATGATAGCACCATCCATCAAGAATCTAAGAATACCCCCAACCATCTTGAACTTTTGGTTTGATTGGGCGTCCTTTAGTAGGAACGACTCCAGGGAGGAAGCTGAGGATGACTCCAGTGCTCCCAAGGGTTGAACAGCACCTTAAACAAAACCCTCATGCTTGCGAAATCTTTTGGACCTTCATTTTCTGAAGATGCTGGGAATCCATCTCAGGAACTTTGTTTGGTACACACTCTCACATTCAGGACGGTTCTGAACCCCATCGCGATTCTGTTTCCGCGGTCGTCGTCTTCTTTGGCTCGCCTTGACGGCGGCTCCGATCTCACAGGTGATGAGGATTCCCAGGATAATCTGCATCTTTAGGTCCATCTGAGGCGGGACGCTTTTTCGGGCAGGCAGGGTGCTTCCCAAAGTTCTTCCAAGGCATCTGAAACTGGGCGGTGGTTTGTTTGAATTCTAGTTTCGATCGTCATGGTCTCTTCTCAAGCAAAACCTCCTATCTTAGTAGCTTTTACAGCTGTTGCTTTTGTTTTCATCTTGGTCATATCGTTCGTTTGATGGCCCGGCCACTTCGAAGCAGAAGATCGCCACCTTTTGGTTAATGTGTCCCTTTCGAAGCGAATTGTGTGGGTAGCACTAGTTACTGGCCATGCCCATGTCTTACATCCGGCGCCTCGCCACCCACAGCTGCAAGCTCACCCAGACTTCCGCGAGAATCAAATCGGTCCAGCATCATAAGGATCAGAATCGCAAGGACTCCGGCGACCAGGTTTGAGACAAAGGCTGTTAGAAACCTCAGGATGAGTGTGAGACTCTTCCGTAAATCTTATAAGACTGATCACTAGGACTAGGACTCTTATGGCATATGGATTGGTTATCATCAGGTTTGAACCTACACGTCCAAAGCCCCATGACTCAAAGAACTCTCTTCATGGCAGAATGTGTTGTTGTTGTTGCTGTTCTTATTTTTCCGGCACAACGCAGAATCCAAGTCGCGGGTATGGAAAGGCCAAAACCTGCGATGAACTCATGTTTGGCTCTTGCGACTTCAGCGCCCCGTTCTGATGGTCATTTCAGGAAGGATATTGATATGGAAGGAACACGATGGCATGTGGCACAGCCGTGATGAGAGATGTCGGGATTGAAACTAGTGAGCAAACTCAAGACCGCAGCAGTTGATGTGTATGGCATATAGTATCACCCGATTGTCGATGTGTTGCTTTGTGCCAAGCTCTAAGATTCAAAAACTCTTGAAACCGCTGCACACAACGAAATGCCAACAAGCATTACGCATCACCTACTTCCAACACGTTCCGCATGGCCCTGCATGATGCAAACACACCGTCAAGTTCGTGCCCCGTTCGGAACAAGAACCAACCCGTCGACCTCAGCTGTTGTGAGCTTCTCGATGTATGAAGCTCCAATAAAATCACCTGACAAGGGCATTACTACAGTAACAAGGACACTACTAGTAGAGGGCATTGCTACTAATACTAGTAACAAGAAGCTACTAGGAGCGATGCACTTGTTCCAACTGTTTGCAAAATAGCTCAGTGAGTCAGCGACTCCAAACCTACCACTTCTCATTCCAAGATCTAAGTGATTTGCCAAAGCAGCACAGAATTATCATGATATATCCAAACATAGAATCACATCTTCAAATCTGCCCAACATTTGCCCGCAAAAGAAACACCGCCTGCCAAAACGATGACGATCCAGAAGACCACCTCCACAGATCGTTGCCAGCTGGACTCCAGGAACCTCCGCAAAGTTCAGTGGCTTCACATGGTTTCATGTGGATGGTTCATCAAACTCTCCCCGTTGTGGAGATGCAACACCATGCTAAACTGTGGTTTTTGAACACATATATGCATTGATCAACCGTCAGCATGGTCCCACACTGTTGACATGTTTCCGGACAGCTCCCGAGAGATTGGACATGGACATCATCCCCTTTCGGAGGTGAACAGTTGAGCCTGTGAACAGTTCGATGAGAGCCTGTGAACAGCTACAGTCTCTGTCTTTCGTCCTTGATTCTCAAGACCAAGCTTTGGATCGCCTAGCGGCCTAGCTTTGCTTGTGTCGGACCCACAGCTGCCCTGTAGAAGTAGCAATTGGCGTTCAAGCTCTTTCTAGGTAGCCCATCTTCTAGCAGATTGGAGGCCATCTCTAATAGGTTGGAGGCCATCGCTACTAGGAAAGAAGCGGATTTGTTTGTAGGTAGAACCCGGGTCCAAACTGACCTTCACTCTTCTTCACTTCATGCGGAACGGGCAGGAAAAAGGGCCAAGCCCCCGTTGCTGGGTGTTGTTTCACTGCTGCTCCAACGGTTCGGCTTTCTGCTGCCAACCAACTGCTGGCTCGCAGCCCGAAAATGATGCTTGAACCTCAGGAAGAGCCATGATGCACGAAAGAGATGAACATGTCCACTACATGATGCTCCGTTCCAGAGTATCCATGGGCTTTCAAATGCTTTTAGAAGCTACGTGGTCAGTGTGCTCCCAAACAACCAAGAAACATTCACTCCCCACCATTTAACTTATTAACTGAACACACTCAAGTACTCAAGGATGTAAAGGAAGAAACCAACTTTATGCATACACGTTGGTAGTTACACAGTTCAAAAAGCAGGTTCCGTCCATTTTCTCCTGTGTCCTGCGAGGTCGATGAGTCTGTCGAGCTGCTGCGATGGAGTCTTTCGCTGCTGCTGCTCTTCCGTGTGCAGCGGTGGGGGGCCTGAAAGGTGCAAAGCGCCCAATGGGTGCGACCTCCGACCTGGAGTAGACTCAAAGGAAATACACCTGGATCCTGTTGGGAGAGGTTGCACATTCAGCAGGAACCGTTCTGGGGATACCGTGGAGTTTTCTTAACCGTATGCTTCCTTGCTTTCCTCATTGGCCATTGCATAGAATCTGGAACTTTGAAACATGAGCAGTTTCAAAGGTGTGCTGTCCAAGTGCTCATGCAGTGATGCCAATACCATCCAATACGACCAGGAACAGGAACCCTGTATGTTTTCACACATTCCACCAGTATTCTACCTACTCCAGGGTGATTGCGTGGTCCCAGTGGTCCCCTGGATTCTTCGCCCAGACTTTAAATCAAACAGGACGCACAATCTCCTCTGAACTGCTCAACACCCAGCTTTCTCCGGTGAATTTCCAATATTCCAGGCGGCCGATTCTATCTCATCGTAGAAACCATGTCACCGATTTCTACATCATCCGGTCCATCAGTCTCACCATCTATCTGCCAACCCTACTATCGCTACTATACACCCTTATCAACTCACCATACCAGCTAGTCTTTGTAAAACCTATCTCCGGTGAACTCCCCCAAAATCGTCTGTCCAACTTTCCTTGTTTAAGCAGCACCACAAGGCTTGCACAGTACAAATCCAGGCAAACTATGATATTTGTATGTGTCTTGCTGGGAAGTATTATATACTTCCACAGTCTTTCCATGGCAATCTGTTGGTTCGATATCTTTCCATCACAAACATGGTCTTGAACTGATAGCACCAGCAAACCCACAACGACAAGGTCTTAGCACCTCTAGGAGCTGACGCTCCTGGCTCTCCTGGTAGCGCCAGTCTTCCTGGCGGCGATTCTGAGTGCTGCGGCTTGGTTGAACATCAGGGCCGCTATTGTCCAATAACAAGCTTCTATAGAGCATTAAGGTTTGATGTGCTCAGGTCTTCAGAAAACAAAACGCCCAGTCTAGGACCATGAGCGTGAGCAATGTCCAGTCTTGGCGATGGAGCCGAAAAGGGGACACGGCTCGTCGCGGCTCCGTCGTGCTTTTCGGGGCCCGGAAGACGAGAAAAAGAAGAACATGGAGAACACATGTTTCCGCAGTTGCTTTCCTGGTGTTTTTATGTCTTTTCGAAGGCGCGGCCGATTCGGGGGATTCTCTCCTGGTGCTTCGGCGGACGCTGCTATTGACGCGCGTGTCCAAGCTTGGACTTGCGCGTCGCGTTCAAGACACAATACGGACGTAATGGAGATTTCCGTGTGTGCGCGCGGCGATGTACAGATTTCCCATGGACGCCGACCCCAGTGCTTCATGTGCTTCCATGCCTTGATTGACATCTGTCTGCTGGTATCTTCAAATTCATGCGCCAGCGTTTTCGTGTGACGGCGCATTGTGGAACACCGGTTTCTTGCGCCATTTTACAAGTTCATACAATTACAGTACTCAAACACTCCATGTATGCCATATATGCCTACATTGGGGTGGTGTTGGGGGTCAATGTAGGCATATATATGGCATACATGGAGTGTCTGGGGTATATATATATATGTATTGTATACTCTGCTTTTATTCCAAGACAGAGCTTGATGTATACATTCGCAATGACCATGCAGCGTGGGACAAAGATGGACACATGATGACACATGCATGTTTGACATCTATCCTTTAAAACAACCATTTATCTTTTGCTTTCTGAATGTAATTGCATGTATACAATTGACATACAATATTAATATACATCAAACTACATCCCATGCATGGCAGATTTCGTTTTATGCCATCGCCTCCAAAGTCTGGATGTGCACCATTCCTGTCCAAATCGCGAAAACACGCCGATCTTAATAGGAGAGAAAAGTAGACGAACAATGTGAAACATATTCGTGATGAAAACAGGTCGAAAATTGGAACCGGTTTTAGTCTGACATTCGTGGAAGCGAATCTTTGGCGACGTACGAACTGTTGCCTTGAGGCAGCACTGCCACCTGACGGATGCAAGCAGTCGAAACATCCCTTTTCGGACAAAGACACGAGCCACAGGTTGTCTTTGACTCTTATGCTGCCAGTGTCCGTATCCCAATTCATGGTTCCGGGCATGGGACTCTTGGTTCCGAGCACCCCGCAGAGAACACCCGCCGGCTGTGGCCCTGACCGGTGGGAAAGTCTGGTGTGCTTTTCACCGAAGAACTGGCGGGTGACCTGGCGGACGTCATCTCAACGGTCCCGGGTCTGAAGACGATGGACATCCCCGACTGTGGGGTAACGAACAAGGCAAGCCAGCTGCAAAGGGTGCTGTCCTACCAAACAAGAGCAAGATTGTGGGATCAGGTACCTATATAATGGAAATCAACCACTTTTTGTCTCACTCTGCATGGTCGGTGGGCAGAGCATCACACTCGTTTTGAATCTGGGTTGATCTTGAACAGTCGTTCCATATTTCTCCAAGAAGTCGTTGCGTTGAGAGGCACAAACGGAAGCAGGTTGCCCCCTACATCAGCCTTACCTCACTCTGGTCTGGACGAATCATTTACATTCAAAATAGTATCAATGAAGGACCTATAGCAAATCTATAGCTGTTATAGCAGCACCGGCACCTGCATTTGAACAGCCGGAGCCTATGCAGGATCTGCTGCAACCTGTACAGTGTGATGGAGCAGTCATGAGTCATGGGCCGTCGCCCGTGCGAGCGCCCCGTCCTTGACCTCCCAGCTGCATTGACCTGAACGCAATGGAGCCCTGCAGTGAGAAATGGGGAGCGCCCAAGATGTTCAAAACCAGCTCTGCGTAGCAGCTATGAGCATGTGTTTAGGGTTCCCTTTGGGCTGACTCGTCTTGTGCTTGGAGGATTTTGCTCACTATTCCAACCATCAATGATGCCCAACCTGTCGTGAAACCAAATCGCCAATAATGAGACAGGGAAACAAAAGGATGGATTGACGTAACAGTGACGGCCTGAACATGCTGAACCGGCCGAACCCGCCTTGGCCTTGGCAATCTGGGACTTGTAGCCTTGCGACCCAAGCCCGACCCAATGCCACAAGGCCATGCAAAGGATGATCTCTTCAACTTCAGTTATTTCTCTCTCTCTCTCTATGTGGTGCATGTGTGTATATATATACATACACAAATATATACACTGTATATAACTATTCTAAATATATATATATATACACACACTTGTTTAACAAAATGTGCTGGTTCACCAATCCTGATGCTTTTGCACACAACAAACTAATTATCTTGTATTTTGTAGAATCCAAACAAAGCAGGGAGTTGAGTCTGCAAAACAACCTTTTACCACGTCAGAGCTTTCCTCGCTCAAGCCACCATGCCCTAAGAAAGGTGAGTGGAGACTTGTCTCTCTCTCTCTCTCTCTGTGCAACTCACTGCTGGGGCTCAAACAATATTGACACACGTCAAAGCCTGGGTTAGTCTCGAAGATCGGGCAACGAAATGAGGCAGCCGCCAGCCTTGAACGGCTTAGAGAGGCTTAGACTGGCTATTTGAATCAGTTCTGACATACAGAAAAAGGCTTCTTATCGCGGTCACAAAACTGCAAACAGCGTTTCAACACTTTTTGGTTTTAGCTGCACATTGCTTCCAAGCTGCGGCATTTCTCCTGCCAAAAACGGCGGCTTCTTTCCGTGAATTTTGGCGACCCCCAAGCCAACCCAAGCCCGCTCTCGGTCTCCACCTGCGAAGGTGTCCAAACTGAATCCCAAACACTAACACTCCATGTATGGAATCCATGGAATCCATTACCCCCGGCCGGTTGCCACGTCGGCCACCTCCCCAGCGAATTCCCGGTCCGGACAGCTGTAGTGCAGCTCTTGCCGGTCAATGGTGTTGCGGCAAAAGACGCATTCCCGCACATGGATGTGACCTGTCCCGAGTGAGGGTGGTGGCCAAGCCGTTTTGATGCAAGGCAGTGCAAGAGATAAAGACACAAAACATTATTCCAAACATCATGGAATATCATCATGGATGTCGGTGAACGATTGCAGCATCAAGATAAGCTATGGCTATGAACTGAAGTTGCTGAATGTCAACAACAATTCCCAAAAGAGGCCCCGCAAAAAGCCTTTTGCAAAGAAACATGCGATTTGCAAAAAAAGAGCAGGATCGTACCTTGCCATGGCTTCAACTTTCTAACCTTTTCAACCTAAGATTGCCGGATCTGCAGGCAACAACCGACAAAACTTGAGATGAAGAACACATTGGTCTTACGTTACTTTCCTGAAGAGCATAGCTCCAAATTGACAGCAAACACTTTCGCCCCCAAAGAGCCATTGCTACTAGGGTGGAGGCCATCGCTCTTAGGTTGGAGGCCAACACTACTACCGTGGAGGCCAGCGCTCTTAGGTTGGAGGCCATCGCTACTACCGTGGAGGCCATCGCTCTTAGGTCGGAGGCCATCCCTACTAGGGTGGAGGCCATCGCTACTAGGGTGGAGTCCATTGCTCTTAGGTTGGAGGCCATCGCTACTAGGGTAGTACTAGGGTGGAGGCGGTCGCTCTTAGGTTGGAGGCCATCTCTTAGGTTGGAGGCCATCGCAACTAGGATGGAGGCGGTCGCTCTT